GTGCGTAGCAATGGCTTAAAAAAAGTCATGATGTGTGGGAAAATTCCCTGAAAACATACATCATCCTAATTCTAGCATACAATGTACTTGCCACTCATTGATAAAAATTATACTATACTGATGAAAAAATTTCTTGTGCAATTTTATTATTTGTAAATAATGACTAAGCAGTACGCAATTCAAGGATAGTGCATAAAGTTTCTGTTATTTTGGGCAGATGCATGTCCATCTCTAGACTGTGATTAATTTTATTGTCCACCACACTAAATTGTGATTAGTTATGTAAAGGCCTTTCCAGCAGGGTTGGCGATTTTTTGATTTTTTTAAAAAAATCAAAAAAATCAAAAATCATTAATTTTTTTGATTTTTTCATGATTTTTTTGATTTATTTGATTTTTTTGATTTTTTCAACTTTTTTGTCTTTTTGAAGTGTTATTTTTTATGTTGCAATTAGCCTATTATCTTTTTAATTGCCTAAAAAATCAATACTACCTCTCAATATACAGGGTGGGGGAGAACCGATTGAGCAGTTTTGAGGTAAAATAAGAGAGTAATGGAGGTACCTAAAGAAGAAAGTTTATATTCCTAGAAGTTAACATAACATACCATTTAGAATACTTATGTTTTGAAAACAATATCTGGAAGATAGGGCCTCTAGCTGCAACACACTGTTGGAGTCGTTTTCGTAGGAGGGAGTAACCGTGATAGTGAATTCCGATCGCTATGCTGCAATGTTGCAAAATTTCTTGCAGCCCATGATGGAAAACATTGTTGAAAATGAAGCATTGCGAGACGTGTGGTTCCAGCAGGATGGGGCTACAGCTCACACAGCTCGAATGTCACTCAATGTTTTGAATCGCATGTTTCCCGTAGGTCTGGTGTCTCTGAGGGGTGATTTACACTGGCCTGTGAGGTCGCCTGATTTGAGCATTTGCAATTTCTTTCTTTGGGGACATCTAAAAGAGAAGTTAAGAAGTTGCCCTCACACCCTACCACAGCTAAGGGGATGGATTATTGCAGCATAGGCTATGGCCATACATCGCCATATGTGTGAACGTGCTGTAGAAAACTTCCGAGAACGACTCCAACAGTGTGATGCAGCTAACAAACCCCATTTTCCTGATATTGTTTGCAAAACATAAGTATTTTAAATGGTATGTAATGCTAATCTTGAGGAAAATAAACTTTCTTCTTTATGTACCTCCATTACCCTTTTATTTCGCCCCAAAACTGTTCAATCAGTTCTGCCCCACCCTGTATAAGCTAGCCAACACATTTAAATTGTATATTGTAATCAATATATATATCAAATAGTTAAAGACTACTTATAGCCTTATAAGAATTAGCTAAGCTGCTAGCTATGTACAATGTATTGCACACTTGATGCCTCTGTACCAAAAACGTTCAATTTATTGGAACCTAATACACACTAAAGGCAACAAGTTTATATACCAATTTGTCATTTATAGTACATTTATACTAAACCATGAATAACAATACCTCAATATAAATTAAAGACTGCCACTCAATTTATTTAAATATATGAAAAAATCAAAAAAATCGAAAAAATAAAGAAAATCATGATTTTTTTATAAAAAAATCAAGTGATTTAATCACATGATTTAATCATTTTGATTTAATCATTGCCAACCCTGCTTTCCAGTATGCCATATGTACTGGGTAATTTAATATCTCTTCAAATATAAAATTCCATAGCCCACACTTTTGGTACCAAGATAATTTGATTTTTGATCTTTTTGTTTATAATTACTTGGTATCCAGGGTGCAGAGGGTGCAAGCAGCATTGCCAATATATGGGTTTTCAAGTCCAAAGCATCTCCAACCATTGAAGAAGCCATTGGATAATGAAGAGCTATTTACAAGGCTGCATGCACGTGTTACCCCAAAATAACTAATTTTACCCTAAAAACAGTCTGATTGTACGGAAACACTAACATTTGTCTTCACTTAAGTGTCAACTGAACACGTGATGATGCTGTCTGACTGCTCTGACGTGATTGCTACTATGGGAACTTCAAGAAAACGTTTTGCTTTGACTTATTGTTTAAGTTTTGCATGATATTTTGGCATGAATTCATCGCAACTGATTTCCAGACAAGCTTTGCTGCATCCTGATCCATCTAGCGTATATACCTATAGCTCTCATTGCCGCCGGAACTGCACGCTAAAGCGCGTAGTTCAGGTGGCTGTTAGTGCGTATAGTCAGATGGGATAAGACAGGACTGAAATCACTAACAAGCCTGTAGCATCTATACCATGAATAACTAAAAAACCCTAAACCTATCACAAGGTGTATTTATGCGATGGGCTGCTAAGCTACAACTCAGACATTTTGCATCTAACATAGTTTTCTGTACAGATTAAAAAAAGTGAGCTGGTCCCATCTTACCCCATTGGGGTAAGATGGGACCAGGCTGGGGTAAGACAGGACCAACTGGTAATTCTTATGTTACAAGGTTTTTGATATAAGTACACATCTGATAATAAATATTATCCATCTAGAAACACATTATTTAATTAGACAACCACTTGTTACTGTTTTGTGTTGCGGGAAGTCAACTCTAATATCAGTCGCATTAGAGTTTTTGTCACGAGAAAACTTTGTTAAGCATAGTAATAGTGGGTTGGCTTTGGTTCATTGTAAAGCACTGCTAAATGCTCTATGTAAATTCCATTAGTGTTATTGTCTGAAAAATTTATCAAATTGGTAGGTAATAAAACCAATGGATAAAACTTAGGTGCAGACGTCATGTGTTTTCTTGCTAACTGCATTTTTGGTGCACTTCTTCAAACGTAGCCACAATGATTTTTCCCCCAGCCAATCTTGCACATACTAGTTCTGCAGCTCACTAATGGGAAGGGACATCCCCATTTTCTATATCCCTTTGATGCAATTAAAAATAGTGGACTAAATTTCTCTAATTAAAAAAGCTAACAAGTTATAACAAAGTTTGCGCAAAAGATACAAATTTGGTCCAAATACTCCTTGTATTGCACAATAATATATTCATTTGAAAACTATTTTTGATAAACTGTAGGGTAATAGAGTAGGTACCATTTGTGGGGTAAGACAGGACCATTTGTGGGGTAAGATAGGATCGCTTGTGGGGTAAAACAGGATCATTTAGTGGTCCCGTCTTACCCCATGTCCGGTCCTTTTATACCCCATTTTAGAATACATGTCAGGTAGTGATGGTAGCAGATAGGAATGCCTAGTATGTCTCAAAAGTTGCTTATTACTTGAGGTTACCTGCCTACATCCACAAACCTGGCCAAAAATTTTTTTATCATTAGACAGAGCTTATTTCCCAAACAGGGTTATTTTGTGACCAAATTTTGTGACCCTTCTTTACATAGGTTTTCTTTAAAAATTAGCCAGAAATTCATTATTTGCAGAAGAGGGTTGAAACAAACACTGAAATGACAGGAAATGATTGTTCTAACATATTCTTTCATTAAATCAAATCCTGTGCAATTAGAATGCATGCCATGGGCCGGTCCTTTCTTACCCCATGAAGGCTGTGATCCTGTCTTACCCCATTATGACTATACCAGAAACTTTAATTTTTTCTGAATAGATGGCCAAAAACCAGGGTTGGCGATTTTTTTGATTTTTTTTTAAAAATCAAAAATCAATGATTTTTTTGATTTTTTTCATGATTTTTTTTTATTTATTTGATTTTTTTTATTTTTTCACCCTTTTTGTCTTTTTTGCAGGGTTGGCAATGATTAAATCAAAATGATTAAATCATGTGATTAAATCACTTGATTTTTTTATAAAAAAATCATGATTTTTTTGATTTTTTCGATTTTTTTGATTTTTTTACGAAAAAATCAAAAAAATCATGATTTTTTTATAAAAAAATCAAGTGATTTAATCACTTGATTTAATCATTTTGATTTAATCATTGCCAACCCTGCCAAAAACTGGCAAATATCTTGAATGCAATAATTTTAATCCAAATGTGTCGGAAAGATCTTCTGAAGGACAAAATTTAGCTGCTGAAGTGCCCCCAAAGATCTTGCAATATTCACCCACTCTCTGCAAAGTGGCTTGGTATTAGATTTACCAGCAAAATACCAGTACTGTAAAATGTGGTTCTGAATAACAATTTACAATAAATATGTGATTATGTCACTTGGCATGATATTGTTTTAGTGGACAATTTTACTTTTTTATTTTCCAATAATGTGGCATGAAACTACATATGTGCTTGCTTAGCTAGGTACTGTACTTGAATTAGTTATGACAAAAAATTGATTTTAGGACATTTTACTACAATTTTGTAATTTCAAAGTCACATTGTAATAGATACCGTAAAATGGGGTAACTTAGACCACTTTTTTTCTATAAATGGTGCCATTTTTTTACTAGCTAAGTTAAACTTGAATTGAAACATGCAAAATACAGGTCTATACTCTAGCTTCACTTACCATAAATTGCTGGCTCCTGCCTCTCATAGTCTTTAATTTTAAATCTTTCTATTGTGTTATGTAGCCTCAGTATTAGGCCTTTAATGCCCATTGACAAAAATTTTCAATGTCAAATAGTTTTTGAGTTGTGGGGGTTTTTGTTAAAAAAACTAAAAGTGGTCTAAGTTACCCCGCCGGTCTAAGTTACCCCATTTTACGGTACCTAGGTCAATTGAAAACCCATTGGTCTAGATTGGAATTTTATCATTAATTAAATAGGAGATAGTTTATCTAATGAACTGCTGAAATCATGCCACACCAGTAAAGCAGAGAGGCTTTATTAGTGTGTACAATGGCATAAGACTACTATATTAAACAAATTTACAGTTGAATAGCCATGATAGCAAATATTATATTATATATCTGACATCCATGAAATGACTATATGTGACTAAAACTGTCATCAATAAAGTTCAAATGATGACATTGCATGCTCAATCCACAAGTTTTGCTAAGACAATTTTCAATAATTAAGATAGTTAATATTTAACTATGAATCTGTTCTTCAGGGCATTTGCACATCTTGATTAAAGTTAGCCTTGAATCTTTAAAAATTCAACCCAAGGGGGTCAATCCCCCTTGGACAAATCTACTGGGCAAGCTCCTCTGGAACAATAGCCACAATGCTATCAATGTGTAGCCTAGTTTGCCGTTTAGTGCGAGGCTGGAAGCAATCAGAGGCTACCACACTGATCTCACAAGCTGCCACAACTCCTGGATCTTCATTGCTACTGCATGATCTTAGTGAACCTGAGCTCAATGTTGATGTTGGGTCTTACATAGCCAGCCCTTACCCTCACTTTGATGGACCGCACAAGTTTTCTCGGAAAGGGTCCTGCTCTGACTGTAACCCTCATGGCAGCTTCCATCCTGCTTTTTGCCAAGCCTTTGCATGGCCTGAAAGTAAGTTAATTATTATCAAAATTTTGTTGAATAAAATATTGTACATTCATGAAATAAATTTTTTTCACAAATTTGCTCAAAAGGGTTCCATTATATATAATACTTTGGTGCAATATTCCCCTTGCAATTTTCAATGGAAACATGTAGCTTTTCCTTTTCCATGACCTAGTTTTATTTATATAAACTTTCTGTAACATATACCTATATAACATAGGTATATAAATTATACTTGTGCGTGTGTAGAGATTAAATCATGAATGGAATCTGCATTTCTAAATACTATTTTGAACATCACATAGGATTGATGCAAATTAATGGTTTAATTTTATTCCAGGAAATATCCAAAGCATGGAAGATGGCAAAGATGAAAGCATGGTTTCATCATTCCGGCCATCACTGTTCTGCCAACAAGGCTGTGCTGGAGATAGAGAGGGTGAAGGTTCATGTGGCCTGCTCCATCCTCCTCCTCGTGTCCAGGTCATTTGGTGTGACAACAACAGACAAGCGTCTCTGGTCACACCCAGGGTGAGAACTCTCTTTTGTACCTCTGAGCTGTTGAGGTACCATTGTATAGACAAATAGAGTAACTTTTGCCAACAAGGTACTATGGAAGCACATAAGAACAGATATTTGTGGAATTTATAATCAGAAAAATTATGATATTTAAAGTCATGTGGGGAACTGTGATTTGTGGCAACAACGCCACCTGGAGCAACAGTAGCTGGTGAACATTGACGCATAATTATTGGGGAGCTGCCTAGGAGGTAGGGTTCTTTGGGACCCAATTAATAAAACATTTTCCCTTCTGGGGAGTCAGAGTTTATTGGAGCCCCATTTACCCTTGCATTGGCAAGCAAAGAAAAGTCCAGCAATTAAAATTTCTGAAACTAGTACAAGAAAATAAAAATATTGAAAGATACATGGGCAATAAAACATTGATTATGTCAAGTTTTTATGTGTTCAAAAATTATGATCTCAAAATGTAGTTCTGGTAGGCGTTTCCCTTATTTTTCCAATCCATGCACAATACGGTATATATATATATATATTTGTAGGTAGTATGCATTTTGTATTGAAAATTTTGCATATTGTTGTAGTAAATCACACTTGAATAATTTATTAAATGCAGTCACTACACAGAGTTTTTTCTTTACAATTCAAATTCTGTTCCTGCAAATGTTAATAGAATAATTTAAATTCAATTTAATTTAATTCCATCAGGTAACTAAAATAAATTAATATATATTACTACTTCTGTCTTTTAAAAATGCTAAAAGAGTGTCAATTTAATTGTCAAAGTCAAAACTCTCATTTAAATGCTCATATTTAAATTTTTGTGCGTTGTATGGGGTGATATTGTGTATGGAACAATTGTCAGATTAGTGGTGATTGGTGATGGGCCAAAGCATGACACTGCAGGCCATGGTGGGCCTTCTTGAAGAGAGATTTGAACTGATCATGTATGGTAACTTGCATGCAAAAGAATTAGGTACCTAATCTAGAATGTGTACATTTGGTTCACCAAATTTTTGTGATTAACTACCACTTTGAGAGTCGAGTTACTGAGATCTAATATTACTACAAATCACACATATATGTGTTAAAATTTGTTTCTTTGTTCATTTGTGTGTTCATGTTTGAAGTTTGGTTAAAAAAATTTATTGGGCTGATCGGGCGCATCTCCAAAATACGTACCGTACTTACCATTGCTTCATATTACCTGGTCCTGAAAATTATTCCTACTGTGATCATAGTAGAGCATATTACCATTGGTAGAGAAGAATGGGGTTAAAATTGCAATTTGATATTCAAATTGGCACAGAAAAAGTTAATCTGAAAGATGCAAAATAATTGTTTTCATATTTTAACATACTAGTCTTTTGGGAATTCTACCTAAAATGTGAATTTTAGTTTTTTTCGGTCGGCATAAATTAATTTGATTCATTTCACTGGATTAGGAAGAATGGGATTATAAAAACACAGCAACGATCCCAAGCCTATGGCGAGCTAACCTGCTAGCAGTTATTATTGTTTGATAATATTGGTCTTCCCATTTTTTCCGCAGCAATCCGTGGACCTCTCCCGTTGGACTTTGTTCTTTGCAAGCCAAGACGATCTCCTAGAGCATAGGATCCACGTGCCGCCTTTGCCTGTCTCTCCAGCTTCAAAAGTAATATCCGATAACTCGAAGCATTTAACAGAGCAGACCTCTTCCCAGCTCATCAAACCTGCAACCAGCAACATTGGTGTTAATGGGACCACTACCACCAATGCAGTCACAGCATCTACTGTCTCAACCACTTCTGATATTTCCAGCAAGTCGCTGGCTTCTTCATGCCTTGAGTCCTCAATGAAAACTTCATCTAATCCGACAGGATCTCGGTATGAATTGGAAAATCCTGATACTTCAATGGAAACATCACCATTTCCTAGGACGTCAGACATGTCATCTTGTGAGCCTGACCAGAGCTCAGGCAGTGGTTTGAAGATGGCGAACGTATCCCACGGATTTGGACCACGCAAAACATCCGCAACTAACGGCAAAAACGGCTGCTTGAACGAACCCGATGAAAGAAATACTTTTACAGGCGACAAACGCAATGAAGAGAAAAATATCCATAATGGGACGAATGAAAACTGTTACAAGACTGTTCCTAACGGAGGATTTACGGCGAAGAGTGGCGTGCACACGGCGGTGTCGGAACACATCTCCGTGGCGGTCGACGGGGCTGCGTTCGACGGCGTGCGCGACACCGCCGAGCTCGTCACTGTGCTGCTGGAGGCGCGCTGCATCTCCAACCAGAGGCGCGCCAGAGATGACGCCTGCAAGGCGCCTGTCATGGTCAGTGATTACGTGATGCAGGAAACGTTTAACGGTGTATGCAATGGGATTATTTGTTCTAATGTTCTAGCTTCCTGGCACATTAATTATCAAATTGATGTTTCGTATTTTTCATGATTTCTTTTTAGTTCTCCTTGCAGCTTAATAACATTAATATCCACAATTTATCTTAAAGCTATTCATCTTCTGTTCGACGAAATACTCCATTGAAAAGTTGACATTAGTTTGCTTTTCCCTTTTCCTGTTCCAAGCGGAGCCGTACAATTGAATCAAGCGCTTATTATTGTAATGCCAGCTGGATGAAACACTCAATAGAAAAATCACTCCATTCGTTTTAGTTGTAATCCTGCCACCAGTATGATACCATGAGAGGTTTGAGTCAGCATTGTTGCTACGTGTCCAGGTGGACCAGGTGTGCAAGGCGTACGCCTGGAAGTGTCGCGGGGTGTTTGGGGTGATCGCCCACACCACACCCCGCCGCCTCATGCTCATGGTCGACGCCTTCTTCGCCAACAACCTCCTGCTTGACAGCGATCTTCACGTCACTAAGATCCTCAGTGAGACTAGTCATCATTTAAGTCCTTTGATCCGCCGCTAAAACCCTCAGTGTGACTAGTTCCTTTCTGCATGACTAATGTTTAATGACTGGCACCACCTGCCAGACAGCGTTCTCCACTTTATATAGGTATATGCGTTATGTATAATCATCACTGAGTTCTCTGATATTGTGCGCCAGCGGACAGTGAGCCTGAACTGTCCAGCTCAGAGCCGAGTGTGTCGAAGCGATCAGATCGCTGAACTCTAGCCTGCCATTTAGCGACTGAAAGTCGTGCTGACGATCTAGATCACCGCTTTCTGTTAGCGCTGTTCACTTGTCTGCGGTACTCTTGTCTGAAGACAAAATTTGTTGTTTCATTTTCATGTTTTTGATCCAATTATTACGCTTTAAAACACCATTCCAGCAAACTATTTTTAACATTCCGGCAAACTATCTATTTTAATCGTCCTGTACTGTGGCTTTCATCCTGCGTAATCGAAAGACAGATCGATAAATGGTGACGTCATGAAAGCGGCTCTTATGTTTACGAGTGTTATGAGTGATCTTATTTGATTTGCCCTTGATTTTGGATGGCGTAGTCGTCTGTACATATGACATGTGTCGTTAATTTATTTTTTGAAACAACGTGTAAGCTAAGATTTAATAGGACCTTGAGTGTGTAGAAGTTTAAGCCTGGTGACACAGATGACTTATTCTACTCATTTAGCCTAGTTGAGCTTGTCAAATGAGATATACGTAATATCGTAAACTCCAAGCGATCTTTTTAGTAATCGAAAATGCACAGCAATTTTTGTGGGTAATTTTTTTCCCTGTTATATAATTATTATCGTTTAATCCTACTAAACACATAAATTAATGCCCATGTAAGGATTTCGTTATCACCTTTGAAACTGAACATAATTGTCCTTGTATCATGCTAAGGAAGATCTAACAAGCTTCAATAATCCTGAAACATCAGTTTATTTCCGACATCTTATCCTTGTTACTAAAAGATTTGTTGACGCAGCCGTGGACTGCGTGGGGGTGCCAGGTCGGCTGACAGACCCAGGCAGTATCGCCGAGTGCGCGACACCAGGCGGCTACTACACGACAGCCAAGCAGCACCAGCACACCTCGCTGCTCGACGCCGCGCGCTGCCTCTCTGCTGCCGACGTGTCCAGAGCCCCCTCCCCAGGTCAGATATACTCTAGACCCGCAAAAATTAATTTAATTAAACAGATTTGGTTAGTCGAAATATTACTGAATGAGGGTACCGATCAATGTAATATGTTTCATACCCAGTGTAATAAATTCAAATGAAGAGATTATGTTACCAGAAAGGGGAAAAGGTCCTAATCATTTTAATTAAAGTATTCTGTACTCGGGGTATTTAATTCTCCTCAAACAGCATCATTCTGTGTATTTATGATCATACCTAGTGAAGGTATATTTGTACCTATGCAGTCCCACAAGGTTTAAAGAAAGATGGAGAGATAATATTAGCGGACAGTTTGGATGCCAAAGTAGAGATCATTATAATATCTTACTATCGTGTTCCCGTGCTAAAGTTTGGATTAATTTTCAAATGAAGAGTTCAGATGAAATTGGAATTTTACAGTCAAAGATAAATTTGAAATTTTAGGATCGTGAAGGTCATTACATTCAAATAGGTATCTATATATATAGTGTGCTATTATTTAAATAGATTTATTTTAGGATCGGCATCGCTGTCTGCCTGTTGAACGGTCGATCCCATGGTGGGAGGCTAATATCCTCGTAGAATGTAGAGCCTAAGTTATGTTTTCTACGATATTATTGGTTCGGGAGTACGGTTCATGTCTTTATGTTCTGTTAATTCAAGAAGATAACTTTTCGAGTCTCTGTTGCCTCAGTTATTATCGTACAATCCCATATTATTCTGATGTTTAATTCACAGTGGATATAAAATATATATGTTTCAACGAGCATGGATTCTATTATTTTGTATACTTTCTAGATCATAACTTTGTTTTAAGCCATGTACATCAATTTCTGTACATTTTTTGTTTTTGTTAAACATGATCATCAATAAACGTTAATTTTTTTGTATTTTCACGATTCCTTTTTGGTTCTCCTTGCAGCTCAGTAGCATGAATACCACACAGTCACGCAACTCACTTCACTCGTATGCTCTCACATGATCAAATATTCTGGTCATTCAACGAACAATGGAACTTCCATTCCTGTACTTATGGTGTTACACAGTACACACATTCTTATCCTGTACACATGGGTACACTTAATCACTTCTGGTAGAAATGACACTATTGATAAGAGTATGAACACTCAACGGTTTCCACTTTGATATTCGTATTTTTCGAACTAATATTTTACGTATAGTTATAGAAATGAAAATACACATAGATACTTGAAATCGTTTTCCAACATACATATTTCATGGGATACATAAAAAGTCAACTTTATCGCTCATAAATTCAGTATGATGAAGAAAAATACCGAAAAATGATCGTTTATTGAACAATTATTGACGAAATTAAGTAGATATAACTTTAAAGAAATCGTCAAACGTAAGGCGCTGTGCTCAACATGATAAGATTTACGTACCTACTTATAATAGATACACGTCGCGCTACAGTACATTTTTGCCACATCTCGTAGCCGGTCTCTTCTTACACCGCCAACAATGAGTAAGTTTTCATTGTAGTTGTTATATAATATTTTGATTAAGTAGTGGCTTCTGTCGTTGATGAATTAACAATCGCGTAAATGCCATTAATTTTCGTATACCCACTAGTTCCATGTCGGAAAACAACTTATAATTTTTTAATTTGTTTGAAGTTGTAATCCGAGAAAACGCTCTTCCGTTTTAGGAGGAGCGTAGCGTTCTAAAACTAACGACTTTCAAATCAATTTGCTCTTTAACGCTCAACATCACATGAAATACACAAAAGAGAGCCGTTGAATCTGAAAACGCTCTTGAACCTATTGAACTGCACACAAAACTAACGCCAACTTTCAGCTTATGAGAACTACAGAGAGGCGGTTGCCTATAAAATTCGCGTGGCGGTTGCCTATAAAAATAAATGACTCCGAATTACAAGCGAATCTTGAGTCGTGGTCTTGCCAACATTTTACGACAACTTCCAATTCTTGCGAGTTGCGATATGGTTGAATATTTCCCCTGTACATGAAATCACTTACGATCAGAGCTTGTAAAGATCATTTTGTACACGTAGGATCTGTTAATTTTTCTAATCGACTCATCGATTGCGACCAGCAAAATTTGAGAAGAGGACATTCATTCATGAACAAATATGTGTTTATTACCGTTGCTGACTTACACAAACCTTACCTGTATTGTTTTTCCTTTATTAATCAATTTTTCCATCCTTATGAGTTTGTAATTAATTTTGTACACACATTGTTTGTATTACGTGTGGCGTTCGACTAGTCATGACTAATTTTGGGTTGATATAGAAGCATACGCTGGTTACTTCTAAAATAATTCGTCCTGCAGCCTAATGATGTAAGGTTATCGTTGATCCATCTAACTGAATAGTTAAAAAAACCTATGATCTATCAGTCCCGAGTATAACTCATCCTAAGTTGTATTATTCAATAATGATAAACAATGAAGCGGTTCTTATGGTACTCAGAATAGTCTAATACTACCGCACATCGAAGGTGAGTAATTATCAGAGCATTTTTTTCGTGCTGATGATCCGTACAATGAATAATGTTTGAAATAGATCATTTCTTATTATATCAACTTCGCTAGGTCCATTAATTGGAATATTATTTCATTAATGAAAATTATTGAATGAAAGGTTATATGTTGGTATTGAAATCCTTGTTCTCAATGACTGTTGTTGATCATTAACTTGACATTTATAATGTAAATGAAAAGTATTTGCTTGATTCAGGCTAGTACAGTCTCAATTCTGGCTAGCATTCAGGTACAACCGATTACGGTATTTGTTAGGATCTACGGCATTCTATGTTGATGTATAATAATTCTGGCGTTCTATGGTCCCGCAGAGCAACCCATCGTATTCCAGCCGTATTGCCGGCCTGTCAAAATCCCTCACCTGCGAAGCCGCTTGCATCGAACAGCTCCTTGTCTGAAACAACACTCATCTTCGTCAAGTTTTTCAATGGAAGCTGCTTGCGCTGCCAAATCTGATCAACTCCTTCGGTTCTCATCCAGCAGTTCAAGTAGCGAAAGCAAGAGCATTTCTACAGACTCTGATGACTTGCCTGTTCCTCCTGTTGATCTGCAAATGTTTTGTCCTAGAGGCTGGGCCATCTCAGGACAACGAATCGTTATTGGTCAGCCTCTTGTTTCTGACAAAGCTCTTCTCACCGAGAAAGAAGTCAAACTAACTTCTTCAGGTAGAACTTTAGGGAGTCTTTCTTCGGGTACTATCCGAACCAACCCTCTAGGAGACCTCTGGATGGACATGGAAAGCCGTAGGAAAATGGCATCCGATAATCGAATCACTGAGGAGAGCAGCATCGAGTCTTCTGTCGAGCAGGGTTCATCACATGAGCTACTAACATCTGCCGATCTTGGCACTTCGCTGGAATCTGAAGAAGCTAGTTTTGAAAGCTCAGAATCCTTTGCAGACTCTACTACTTCGGCGCCAGCTGCCAAAGAGACCGCTCCCGAGCGTTGTAAGCTAGAAACCTTAGATAATCCTGCAAAGATGAGCCAAGATATGCCTAACACCTCAACACGACATGCAACTCACTGTCAAGACTTGGCACCTGTAATGGTTCACTCACGCAGAACAAATTCGTCCTCGCTAGTGAGGCAGAAAAAGAATGCTAAGAGGAAGAAGAAGCTTCTTCCTCAACAAGAGTTTGATTTGGACGCCGATGCCGAAATAAAGAAAGATTACAGCGCGTCTGCATCGCTACTCAGGGAAACTTTCGGCCAGCCTAGAAGCGAGATGGTCAGAAATAAAAAATCATCGGTCGCCAAAAGCGAAAACAATGTCAAGTCAGCGAGCCGATCTCCTTTCCGCACAACAAGTGAACAAGACTTGCTCCGCGCGACTGCAATAATTAGGGAAAATCTCACCAATATTGTGGAAAATTACCTTGTTCGTGCCAAGCCCAGTCAGGAAAAAATATCTCCGTCGAAAGCTGCCCTAGACAAATCACTGCTTATTGAGAAGAAACTGGACCAAGATTACTCCGGGGTACTTTCAATCAATTCCTTAAATTCGAGCAATCCATCATGTTCTGACTTAGTAGCTCCTCGAAGCTCTGATCTAATACTGCATGAAAGCCATGATGCAATAGAAGGAAGCAATTCGTCAACTTCCAATGCGTATTGTCCATCGGAAACTATTGCCTGTACTAAAGAAATGTCTCAAAATATTGCTGGCACAGCTTCGAATCTCATAGATAAGTCATATCAATACAAAACTAAAGATATTCCTAACCAAGAGTTGAAGCAAGTTACCGTCAATGAGGAAAATTCGGTGTCTGAAAACGCTTCTGCCATTAAGACTGAATTGTTTGCTCCGGGGGGTGTTATTGAGCAAGAACTGAAGGAAGATTTGACAGATGCGCAGAAACCAATTTCAAAAAACAATTCTCAAAGTCCGACCAAAAATGCTACTTCGATCGAAAGCACTCGAGCAATTGCTGATGGAAATGAGTCTTTTTCTGGAAACAAATCAGATATTCTAGTTGAAAAATTCGCAGCTACGGAAAAAGACTCCTACTCTACCATGCCCCATGACCAACCTCTTCAAACGACTGCGCTAAACCCAACACCGCAAGAGAATTCCATTAGTTCATTTGTTGTGCTGGAACCTCAATCTGAAGTTAACACTCCCAAAGTGCATACGTGGGTGTCTCCAAATAAATCTGGTTCAACCGAAAATCTGATATCGCGGCAAATGGATGCTTCTCCGATATGTGAAGAACAAAATATTGTTGCTGATACAAACACTGGAATATGTAAATTTGAAGATTCAAAGAATCAAGAGGAGAACCTGCAGACCGAAATGACGTATGATTTACTTTTGACCCAGGCCAGTGTTGTAGGTGACGATATTAGAGCCGCTGGAGTTCAAGAACGAATTTCACTTGCCGATGTTGATTTTACCATAATACCTCCTATAGCTGCGCCTCAGTCCGCCAGAGTAAGTCATGGAAAGCTAGTCAAATTCGAAGGCGTCG